GTGGGTTCCGGAGGATCCCGCTCCGATACCCCTGAGACGACGGATACCCGCAAGCGGGTGCGGTGCGGATGCGGATGCCTAGATGGCCGGAAAAAGCAAGCCGGGATATCGGCATCAGCGCGGATATCCGGATGCAAAATCGCCCATTCTCTAGCACAGATGCCTCTGAACCTTAGTGCCAGTGAAGTGAATCAGAATGTTTGGAGGAAATTTTGCTAGAGTCTTGAACAGGTGATGGTTGGGGTGGTGGGAGTGGATTTGACCTTTCAGTTAGTCAACAGAGTCAGGCATATGGAAGATATGATCCAGTCTAAAAAGGTCCCCTCATACCTGCCACCTGCAACAAGTACAAGTACTTGCCTGATAATCCTCAGATCTTGGACACCTGCACTTGCGTGGGCAGGAGGACACAAATACTAAGTACTTGTGGGTGTGAAAGCTTATTTTGAGACAAACTAGGTCACAAATCTTATTTTAGTTTTCATTTCAGATATTTTACAAGAAGTGTAAATAGAAATATTAAATCTTAACCCATGCCCCCCCCCCTCCCCTTGTATTTCATTTTCTTACAGATTTCTCCCTTGCTGCTCTCTTCTTGTTCTTCTGATATATTTGACTTCCACTTTTTTCAAAAGCCCCCTCTTGATCTTACCATCTTTCCAGTAAAATGCCACACTCATTCCCCTAGTGACAGACTGTGCACTGAGCCTATGCCTTCTGGGAGAAACATAGTCCCAACGGTGGGCTGCTACACTAACCGTAGCGGTTAGTGTAGCGTAACGCAGCGGAATTGCTGTTAGCGATTAGCATAGCGTAGCGGAATTCCGCCATGACACCGCTAACGCTACGCGTGTGGGCCGCAAAAAAGGGCCCAATACGCTGCGCTACAGCGGTTTTTAGCGGTTTTTGGCCGCTTTTTCCGCTAAAAGCGCTGTAGCGCAGCGTAGCGTAGCAAAAAACCGCTAACACTACGGTTTTTGGATGAAGAAAAAGCGCCGCTACGCTACGCTTTTTGGGCCAAAAGCGTAGCGGCCCACCGCTGCTAGTCCCTTCCAAAGCTAAAGGATTGCTCCATGTCAACAGTGGTTGCTGTAGAATTTGTGGGTGAGTTAGTAAAATAAATTGCACCTGGACAACTAAGCACATCTAGTGCCATCTGAAGCATCCCTCCATGAGTATTTCCAGCGTGTTGTTGTTGTGTCCACCACTTGAGAGGGTTGACCGGATGTTATACATCTTTATTCAGCACCAAGCCTCCAGAAAGCCACATTGTGAGTGGATCAGTGGGGCTGCTTGATCCTTGGGCTTTAGAAGCTCCAATAAAACTTGCAAGGACTCCTGTTACAGGCTGGAATGTTTCATTTTAGCTTGAATACCCACAGAAAATCAAATTACTCCAAAAAAAAAACTTCCTAGGAAGTTTGGAACACCTAGGATTGGAAGGCTGGGATGAGGCTGGCGGAGGCAGCAGTTTGTAGTGAGCTTCCCACATTTTGTGGGTGAGTCTAATTGCCTTGTCAATCCACTCAGCATTCCACTTTGCAAGTGATATTTGGATGTCCGGCTTGAAGTATGGAGTATGGAATGTACATATTTAGATATGCATCTGCACCTCTGAGAAGGGTGGGTGTATGGCAAGTACTTGCCTGTTTTTCAACCCAAAACCATGGCACCCACACTTGCACCTGGCACCTGTAGGTAAGTGCTTGTTGTAAGCCAACAAGTAGCAAGTGCTTGGTGCCATCTTTAAATTCCAGCCTCCAGGTATAATTCTTATCAGGCGCTCTAATAGTACAGGTAGGAGAAGACAAATTGATATTTTATGAAGATGAAAAGATGGAGTGAACCCCATATTGATGAGCTAAGCTAAGAAATTTTCCAGTCATTTGATGGCTGAAGAGGACCCATGGTATCTCCCATGTTACAGTTAAGATCTGGTGTGCCCCCCTACACCATGGGTAGACATCATAGACAAATCATCCAAAGCCTGATTGAGCTCCAAGAATACTATTTTCAACATGCTTTAAATGCATAGCCACTGTTTGCAAAAACAAATACTTCAGGCTTACTTGGAGTTATAACAGTAGTTATGGATTGAGCAATGATCTGCATGTCAACTAGTGCCAGGTTTTTTCTGAGATGTTTCTTTTTTGATAGTGTTAGGTAGCTTTTGTCTGAAGAGATACAATTCAGTAAGTAACATGCTCATAAAGCAATGCTGATAAATAGATATTTGTATACAAAAAAAACAGAACCACATGATTGGATATATGTAGATAATTTAATCATCTGAGAGAAAAGATACTGATGCTGTTTGATTTTCAATCAAAACAGACTTTGAAGTTTTTCAAACACTTTTGCACGGTTAGCTTGGTCATGATTCCATTGTCCTAAATCAATCTTCTTCAAGCGCTCATTGAAGAGATAGCCGTCTAACTTCCTTGCCTCTGGATTGGCTGCAAACTGTCCCATCCAGCCACCCCCCAAAACATAACAAAAGAAACAGAACCAGCCTCAGTTGAATTCACAATATTGAAAAAAAGCAGTATGAAACAAAACATAGATATAAAGACAGAGGAAGCACAAGAAAAAAGACGAACAAATAACGGGATATCCGAGTAACTTGTCGGCGTATTTCCCACAATCTTTGCCAGGACTGGTCCAAATACTGAACCTAGTTGAGGGATAGGAAATGGGAGTCCCCGATTGGCTGCCGCATTTGTCTGGACGTAACCTACATTGTTATGAGAGTATAAGGTTTGAGCATCATCATATTCTGGCTGCATGGGTAGCAGATCCACCAGATACTCGTATCATACTGACCTGGGAAGAGGTGGTAGAACTTGATTGACGGATAGCGGCGGTTGAACTCCTACATAGCAGCGACGATAGGGATCGATGGGATCAGGGCCAGGTCAATTTGGAACTTGGGAAGTGTGTACTTTGTGTGTGTAGGACTGACCAGAGTGAAAGCGTCAGTAAGGGTAGAGTCGCGTTTCCCCTGGCTGATCAACATCGTCGGCCTCCAAGGATGAGTCGCATGCAGTTTCTTCAACGAAAGGTCTTCGAGATCGAGCTCCGAGTAACTCGATCCAGGCGACAGGATCGAGACGACTGCACTGTCGTTCTTCAATGTCTTCGATTCAGCTAGTAAGTAACTCAAGCCGAAGCGAGATAGGCAATGGACAGCAAGCGACTTCTCATATCTATTCCCGATTCCTTCGCACTTCATCAGTTCGCTTTTTTTTTGTTTCCTGTTGAATCCTACTTTTTTTTTCTTGGGCGAGGACGTGGAATTTTGAAATATATGATACGGTCAACTGACCCTTCTGAATTTTCTTCATATATTCCATTCGGTGGCCCTCCTTGAGTCATCAGCAAGTAATCCAATCCGTTTGTTCCGACCTTTTTCTGGATCTCCGTCGCGGTTTCTTTGATAGTTTTGATTGTCCTTAGCAGAAAAGAAGGGAAGAGTACGAATGTAAGGATGGGGGAAAGATGGACAAGTGGCTGGCCGGATGAAAGCAAAACTCAACGAAAGATCAGCCTGAAGGAACTCGAACTGTTGTTTAGAATCGGCTCTCTCTCTGGCAACAGCCCTCAGGCGCTCGAGTACGGCGTTCCCGCGTTCCTGGTTCCGACCGATGATGAAGACTCTACTAGCGCCAAGTTGAGCACATCGTAGAGCGATTCCCTCTCCGATCCCTTGCGTTGCACCTGTATATTACCCAGAGCCGTATTATGCGGAAGAAAGATAACGAGTGGTCAACTGGAATGGACCTCCAACCAGCTCTACAGCTAAATAGGCTTACCGGTTACGACAGCAGTCTTGCCGCTCAAATTCAACGCTGCATTGGATTGTCTTGCTTCCACTGACATCTCGTTTCTTTGTGCTTGCAGTGTGTGTGTGTATTTAAAAATTGAAGCTGCTGGTATTGGTCTAGCTTGCCCAGCCTCTCCGTCGAACGCACGAAGTGCGGGAGAGGCTTGTGCCAAAAACGAACACGCCCGCGTGTCGCTTTCCAGTTTTGAGAGTGTTTTTTGTGCGAAAAATTCTAATAAATTGCTTTCTTAACTTTAATAGAGGAAAAATCTGGCACAATGTATCCCAGATGCCAAAGTAAATTTTCATCAAGGAATTACCCAGAAACATGTACAACTACATTCTAGGGAAACTTTGTAAAGGTCCAAGAATCCGCTCAAATTTGTGTTTTTTGCTTATGTAATAGCTTCTCAAGGCTCGGAGCTCAACTTTAATTCTGATTTATTTCAATATTTCATATTTTTCAAAAATATCTTACTTGTCAGGTTTTCATACAAAATCTCTAAAAATTGGATGAGGAGAACCGCAACATGGTCAACTTTGACCATGCTGACTCTGCCCTCAAACAACCCCAAAGTACATGCATGGTGGGCAATCCAAAATTCCCTACACCAAAACATGTTGATAGCGACACGCGAGCTTGTGCGTATTTGTCACAAGTCCCTCCTTCGGAGGCTCGCTTCGCGAGTGGCGCCAGCCAGCCCAGGTCACCAGGCCCGCAGAAGCTTGGGACTTGGTACAAGTTAGGGTATTGGTCAACTGGTCTCTGGATTCCTCCCTCGATGACAGACCGAAAGGCTTCGAGTTACTCAGTGGAATGTCACAGACCAGTGACGTCATATGCCCTTGTTGACACCTCACAAGTCACAGCTTCTCCATGATATTTTTGAAGGAGGATGACATCATGAAGCACCAGAGAAATCCTCAAGCTCATTTCATCCATCCAGACACCCCAGACCTGAGACCACTGATGCTCACCTTCGTTCATTCCCTTTGTTGCATACAATCAAAAAATAACTCTTGAACTGTCCCCTTCATGCATATTGCCCCAGACCATAGAACACGTTTTTGAGATCCAAGCCTGTTTATTTTGCCCACTTGGAGTTTGACTGATTAAGCACAGGACTGTGTTTTGGCGAGAAGCGTGCAATAAAGCTTTTTTTTGGTAAAAAATAAAAGCGTACCGAGATGTAACTGCTGGTTGAATTTACATGATAAACTAGAGGAGAGTGTCCTTTCAGCCATAGGAAGATTATATGAGGTAAAGAGAAGTCAAGATTTATAGTGCCGTCTGAATGAACAAAACAACACAAGTGTAAGTTTTTACTAGTTGGTGTCGATTCGTGGGTGTCGTTAGCTTGTCTTGATCAGTCCAACTTACCATTAAACACAAGTAATTTCGTCGACATCCACTTCTGACGGGCAGCATTTCTGCCTCATTTTTAATGACCAGGGATGTTGTAAAGTCCAATATATCAAGACCTACACACCCGGACGAATCGGAATAAGTTGGTTCGCCCGCGAGGCGCACCAGCACTACAGGCGACCCCATGCCGCAATACAGTAAATTAGTTGCGCAACCGGCGGGTGCGTGATTGCAACGGCCTGTACACCCTCTGGGGGCGTTGCCGGCCAAGTGTATGCAACAGTTACGTGTTGGGTGCAAGCTGGGGTCGTAATGACCTGGGTTTGCCCCAGGCCGTCCTGGTGCAACGCACCCAGGCCATACCAGCACTCGAGACGGACTGCGACATGCAATTGTAACCGCCCGGGGTCGCTATGCTGACTCGAGACCGGGCTCGCCATCAGTCCGCCGATAGGCGGCACTGGTCGCTCGATCGGTCAACCTTTTTCCTTTCCCAACACCCACCTGGAAAGATGTCTTTTTAGGTGAGTGTTCGAGAAAATAATCGATCTCTTTTTTTTTTTTTGTTTTTTTTTGACTTGACTTGTGAAGATTTTTTTCGAAGTCGGATGAATAAGTGGCTGGGGGGCGAGTCACATACCCATGATCCTGCCTCCCCTCCATCGGTGTTCTATCCTAGTTTGGTGTGGGCTCCCTTGGGTTTCAGCGGTGTGAGATAATGTTGGGTTCGAGCCCGGCATTGACCAGCTTTTTGGCTCTCCCCAACCTGGCTGTGTGACCTGTCGAGCCATAGGGCCGGTGCGCCATCATGACGCCCGGCCTTTGATGGCGGCGGTCCTCCGACTCCGTGGGCGATAACTGAGACGCACCCATACAGGGTGAGACGACCAAATCGCGGCCCAGCAACACGCAACTATGACGGGTTCCGTTTGGACGCCCGGATCGCGCGAGGCGCTTGCAGGGTCACGAGGGCGCCTCGTTAGCTGCACCCGAGGCGGCGGACCCGATCCGGTGTGTAATGTGGCTGTAGAGACGAACGGTAATAGTTCAATACCCTATACACCTCGTGGTCTGATTCATCCTCTCGACCCGACACATCTCCTCAGACCCACTCCTTTTATACCTTTCCCATTCGCCGCCTCCGTCCACATTCGCATTTCAACTCCCCAGCTCCACCGCCCCCCCCCCCACACTCTCACCAATCATTCCGCAACCGGAGTAAGTACCAGTACCTCCACATCCACTTCCATCGCCACCCTTTATCGGCTCTCTCCCACCATTACCATTCCAAGGCAAGATTCCGATAACTCATATTCATTGTCAGATCTCCTTTTTCCTTTTTCAACCGACCTGTCCCAAATCATTTCCCTATTCCAGTTTCCAACAACCCATTTCTTAATCCAATTTCCTCCACTTCCTCTTTTAGCCCCTCAATCGAACGATACAACCGAAAGTTCCGCTCCCATTTCCTGTCCAGCTCACGTCTTTGTCCGGTTCCAGCAACCGCCTCACAATCTCCTATTCTGATTCTCTGCCATCATTTCACCTCTATCTATGTCCATGGCCACCCTTTTCCCTTATCCAGGTCACGGTTCATTTTCGCAATTCAACCGCTTGTTCCCCTTCACCCGGAACATAACTCACTGTATTTATCACCTTTTTTGGGGCCCTACATCCCTTTTCCATTTCCTTTTCAGTCACCTTTTTCAGGACCTCTACGTCGTATCCTTGATCCTTATCCAACAAAGCCCATCACATTTCTAATTCCGGGCTTCTAAACTACTTTTCCATCGCCTTTTCAGTAACCTCTTTCATGACTTCTCCCAAGTGCTGTTGACCCATATGCGATGAAATCCATCACATTTCACAACTCGACATTGCTAAGGGCTGTTAAACATGTGTACAGTGGCTGAAAAAGTCAAAAGTTTCAGTCATCGAGCAAAGAAGGAAAAACGTTTGAGCGGGTGAGTGGGTAGGAGCTGGAAATGGAATTGAATTGGGCATTGGCTGTGAGGTTGGGTAGATTACCTAGAAATGGACCGTGAAATGGCGGTGAAGTGTGGAACGGGCAATGTCTCTCAATGTTCAAGGTTGAGAACTACATCTTGGACCGACCGTTTAACGAGTTTGAGCGACTCTGGAGCCCAGCCTCGTTGAATACTACAAATTCTAAGTCAAAGCAATGTGACCAAGGCGAATTCGAAGAGGGGGAGACGAGTGGCAAAGAGGATCAGTCCAAGGACACGATTGAGTCAATCCTCACCAATGGCAGGACCAACTATCCAGAGACGAGCGGGGGGGACAGGGGCTTTATAGCGGGTGACCCATCGGCTCGATGAAAGGCGTTGGGTGAGATGGTCTACTCGCAATACCCAGCACAACTTCAGAAAGAGAAAGATGAACTCATCTATTACCACCATCATCACCATCATCATCGGGTCCAAATGCTCCTTGGCCTCGACAAGAATTCCAAGGAGGATGGCGCAATCAACTGCCTTAAACTTGGCAAACAGATCGATCACCAAGAACTCAATCAGGCCCCAAACTTCTTGTCACCAAAAAACTCTGCAAGGAGATCCTCGCCAAGACATCAGTTTCTCAATACACTTCCTCTCTTCCACCTTCCGCACCTTCTAATGCACCTGATATCCCTGTTCATCCTCAAGTGAACCCTGCTTCTACTTCCGCTTCATCTATCCCCTTTCTTCCTCACTGTTTGTTGGTTTATCAAAAAGAAAAAGACAAAAAGCTTTCCGGCTCCCCCCTCCACTTTATTTCAGAAACAACACCTCCTTTCTACTTGGGTCAATGTTTTTGTTTCTTGCTCTGCCCTTCCCCTCGCTTTTTGTTTTTACTCGTTATACATGCAAGATGAAAAAGATTGACCAATTGTCATTGTGACTCAGTGCACAATTTTTGTATTTATCTCCAGAAAAATGATCATGAAAAAAATATTTTTATTGCTATGTTGCTGACAAACTAAAAGAAACAGTTTTTATCCAGTTTTTTTTCTTTTGTGACTATCTTAGATATTGGGCTGGATGCTTATGATCAAGATGCTAAAGAAATTCAATTATCATTCATGGACTGTTCTAGTTTGGTCTATCTTACAAAACAGTCTTTAATGAGAAGGGTAAACTCAATACCAGAGAGGAAAAGGAAGCACAACTCAAACACTGTTGATTATCCCCAGTGCGCAAAACCAGTAGTACATATATCCCAGTACTGTTTTTGACAGCCGGGATCCATGGAGAGATGATGCCAGAAGGAAATGTATTGTAGGAAAAAATTCCAGAATTCTTGTGATGTGTTGGATTTAATTTCCCTGCATGGTCTTGAAAAACGTCACTCACATCACTCACATCATGGGTAACCCAGGCACAATTATACTTCCTACTCTATGCATGTTTAATTGGACCAAAGGTGAAAGAGATGGATTTTTATTGTCTGCATGGAAGAGTCCATTGCTTTGTATGCATGACCAGAGCTTCAGTGGATGGATTTTGCTCTCTGATTGATTTAGTTTGAGGGGATTGTGGCTTCTCTTCATGGGGTGCTTGAGGGGCCCCAGAGATCAGTGTCCCCCAAAACAGATTTACTACTTTTCCATTGCCTTCTCAGTAACCTCGTTCATGACCTCTCCCAAGTGCCGTTGACCCATATGCGACAAAATCCGGGTCCAGTGGTGATGCAGAGCGATCCCAGTTTAGTACAGGAGCGCGGCGAAGCCGCGAGTTCCCTAGTCATCTCAGAAATGTCTCTGTTAAGACCAAATGTTATGATTTCTATCCCATGAGCCTCACAAGCTGACCCATACGGTTTACGCAGGTGGTTCGTGGTAAGTATCGCCAGGACATTCAGACTCCAGAGAGGATTAGTCGTCTCAACGAACGGGTCGTATTAAAATGGTCGTCCGGATCTACTTCCGGCCTCAAATCGCAATGATCTCGATTGGGGCATACGAAAACATTTTTTCAGTTAGGATATTGCAGATGCAGTCATTCCAACACCGGATTGCGCAGACACGCAATTTTGGGAACTCAAAGTTGTTGGCCATTCCTAAAACTGATCGAAGGATGACGAGCGAGTCGCTCGACAGCGCTCGACCAAAATCAGTATCCACTGGGCCGCAGCCGGGTTTGGGCTCAAAGATCCGGAGCACCCTCGCGCTGCCGGTCGGAGGAGCGAACGCCGATGGAAGGCTCCTCGGAGAGAGACTCATGGGTTCGAGTCTCCGACCTTCGACCAGCGGTGAAATTGCAAACTATGCAGGGCAATGCAAGCCCGTTCCAGTCCCGCTTCCAAGCAGATTCTGATTGCAACTCGAAACTGAAGTCGCACCGACGATGCACATTCAACATCGGCAGGGATTATAAAGGCAATGTAGGGGAAGGAAGTTGGAACACAAAAGAAGAATATAAGGCTGGTATCTATGTAGACTGGTCCCTTGTATGTATGCCACCATCACCACTTTTTACACATTTATACTGGGGTGCACTGACGCGCATTCCTTGCACAGCGCCCTACAGCTCCCTTCGGCAAGAATTTAAGTGGCCCGTAGACTGCGTCACCGCATGAAGGGAAAACTATCTTGTATGGTTCAAATCCAACGTTTCAGACCACATCCTCACCCAACCTGTGTTCCAATGTAAATTCCATGCATAGATGATGCTGGATTATGGAAGGGTACATACCTTCCACTTCCGCTACTATGTCTTCAAGATCGCCCTCAGTCGAGCGCAATTCCTTTGGAGCAGCAGAAAAGAGCATACATAAATCAATGTTTATGTAGTCCTTTGTCGATAGTTACTCCACCATAAGGAGCCAAAAGGGCTAGAAAAAGAAAACTTAATCTTTCGGACTTTCATCCTTCTTATAGATCTTGCACCCATCATCGACAGCTTGCAGGATACATAGAGCATAGGACATTCATCCAATTAATTAGGATTTAACATTTACGAGAAGTTGTGACATCCCAATAACTTGTTCTTCAGTCGTTTGAAAACAATCGTCCAGAATTCGAGTATTCTGAGAAAAATCTACCGATTTGGTCTCCAGTTAGTCCATCCAACCATCCATCCTTACGACGGCGGGAGGTTGCATCGTATCGGCTGACGACCGGCGCGCGTCCTTCCTTCACCGGGAGTTAGCAAAGAACATTCGGCGTGAGTGCTTCCAAGGTTTCGTTTTTTGACCTTCAAAACTTTGAACGTATCTTATGTAACTGCCAGCTCTGATTTTCCAATCGGGGAATTTTTCCATCCAAAGTGACACATTCATGTTTCCCTTTTTTTTTAGCCTTTTGACTCTCGCTTGGAAAGACCCCAAGCTTATTAAAGTTCCTCTTAGACAACCCAGCTGTCCTAAATGATTTTGACAAAACACGTCGAACCGTTAGATTAGTCAACCTTTTATTTCGCATCTCCGCCATTTTTGTACATTCCCCTGAAAGGTTAAAGCCGTCAGACTTCAACTTCCTGTCTGCTGCAGTCGTCCCAGCAACCTAGTCGTTTATGGTATCTTCCGTCGTGAACAAGGGTGGATGTTTGTCGAGCTTCCATTTTCATGTCTGTCTGTCTAGTTAAGGAAACCTCGAGAAAGGATTGCTTCCCAGACAACTGAGCCTTGTGCCTGAATTTCTCAAGGTTAGATTTCCTTTACAAAGCAGTGACCACCATCATTACCTCAAGGAGCTCATTCACCTTCCCAAAAGTGAATCGTTTCAAGATCAATCTCATTACGCATCTTGCGAACTCAGGGTCATCAACAATTTCTCACAACAAACCTAATTCGTCAGGGCGTCCAAAAATCGCTTCCTTTCGCTTGACCGATTTTTCCGGCGCGTCCAAATCACCCGGTACATTCAAATCAATCGCTGCATCCAAATCACTTACTGCGCTCACATAACTCGGCGCGCTAAATTTACCCGGCGCGTTCACATCACTCAACGCGTGCAAGCCAACCGGCGCATCCAAATCATCCGACGCGTTCAGATCATTAACAGCAGTCAACAAGGACGCCGCGGAAGAAAGAAATCAAAACTTCAATATAGTTGGAATTCAAAGGCGTCCGGTGTGCACATGATCAGTTTCATAGCCTTTGACCTTACATTTTGAACCGAAAGACAACGGGGAGGATATGGGGCGATTTAGGAAGCTTTTACATCGCTCAGAGCGGCATGGAAATGTGAAATCCTCAACAACCCATGACAGCAACCATCAAAAAGAAACCGATGGTCTTCCTTATCAACACCGACAAACAATCAAAGCTAAAGAGTTTTGCAACTCGTTTTGGGGAGAAGAAGGATACGAAATCTTAATTGAAAAGACCAAGATGTCAAGTAAAATGTTGGAAGAGTTGAAGAATTGGTATAAAGAGAGGGCTTTAATCGAAGCAGATTACGCGAAAAAACTCCAAAAGTTGTCCAGATCGAATCTATTCCAGTTGATCAGATTCGAAAGTGATGGGCTTCAACTCGGCTTGGATCATCTTCGTGAAGCTACTGCCAAATCTGCTCATTGTCATGCCGAATTAAGTGGGACTTTCAAGACCAGCTTGGAGGGTAAAACGGCGGAGTTCATCAACAAACGTGAGGGTGCACGAAAAAACGTCAGTAATCTCTTTCCTTCGACTTCTTGAGCAGCCAGGGAGGATTACTAGTCATACTTAGTCTTTTTCTTGTGCATTCAAACAGCCGCAAGCTTCTATTGAAAAGCTCCACAAAAGGACAGTAGAGTTACGATTATTACAAGAAAAGGTGCAGCTATCAATACCATTTCCTATGCCGGTCTCTCCCTTTTGAATGATCAATTCATAACCGATGCTAAACTTGGCTTGTGTTTTTATACTCTTCGTAGGCACGCAAGAAATTCGAAACAGATGCGATTGCTGTCAGTGGTTATGCAGCCCAGATGCATCTTGTTCAAGGTAGAGAAATGGATAAAATCTCGGCTAAACTTGACAAAGCTCAAGGAAGCATTGGGATTACTGGTGAGAACGTTTCTCTCGTGGTAATCCACTTCTCAAAAAAATAAGAAAGCTGATTTACTTACCTGGATGTCCTACACGTTAGAAAAGGAATATCGCATGCTCACACAGAATTTGGAAGACACTACTGAAACCTGGAACTTACAATGGAAATCATTTTGTGATGTGGGTTTGAAAAAATCGACTCCCCTCAGATTTTTCGGTTCCATCAAAATCTGGACGAGCTGATCGGTGAATTTCTTTTGCTTGCTCGTGTTTATATCTCTTGATACACAGTTGATGCAAGATTTAGAAGAAGATCGAATCGATTTTGTTCGAAGTTCTCTATGGGATTTCGCCAACGCTCTTTCGACAATCTGCATGCTGGAAGACGAGGTCAGTCAAGGATGGGTTTCTCTTCGTCGACTGTCAATGCAGGCCAAGCTGACCCAACTTGCCACTCTTCCCGTTTCACTATCATTGTGTCCAAACACCAGCATTCTGAGAACTTGCGTAAGGCTGTCGAGCGATGCAACACATCCCAGGATGTCATCAAGTTCATCCAGCAGGCCGGTACAGGCCAGGAGCTCTACGGTATGTATTAAACTGAATTTTAGTTTTGACGAGCAAAGAATGCTCATCGATTTGTCTCCCCTTCACACATCGGAACAACCTCAAATACGTATAGCTGCACCAGGATATATTGATTACCCCAAAGGTATACACGATGATCCAAAGCTCTTCGAACGGAAATACCCCAGATATGAGCTGGCAAACTTTGCCAGAAACTCTTGTCGGGATGGACAAACAGTCCAACTAGGAACACCAAGCATCATTTCCGATTTAGCGATTGCAATCGAAGCCGGGCCAACAAGGACATCCGCCATGGAAAGCCATCCCAAGCAAGCCCCAGACCATCATCCTGGTCCGACTGTTCATCAAGCCAAACAACATCTGAAACGAGGAGGCAACATTGCCGAAGTCGTAGCCACCAATGCCTTGTCGCTCTCCAATCCTCACCCTCCCGTCGGTACCCCTCCGGTCCAGCGCGCCGTTCATTTACATCCCGAGCCCGAAGTCGTCGACGAACATCGCCCTCCTATCCTCTATCATCCTAAGCACCATGATTCTTTCCATGGCGCCGGAATCTTGCTCAACCATCCTCATCCTCATCAATCTCCTCATCATCCCAGTCATCCTCATCATCAACCTTATAACCATCAACCGAAACTCTCGCATCAGTTCCACCATTTTCCTAGCTCTGCTTATGATCGGCCTCTTCCTCCACAGCCGAAATCATCGGAAGAACCGCCGACTTGAAATCTGAAACCCATCACTACACTTCAAAGCTTCATCTTTCATCTCAGTTTTCAGCATCTACCACAAGAATTGGGTAGAAATTTTACACCCAACAAACTTATCAACCTCTAATAATCTCCTCAAACGCAAAACACTTTCCCTTCTATTCTTCGACAACCCTTTGTCCTCTGTGTCTTATATATGCATATATATATATATGTAGTTAATCTGTACATTAAATGTGTATCTCGCATTTCCAAAGATTAAAGAAATTGTCCCTCATTGTTTTTCAGTCCCAACCCCTGATCTATTTATCATCGTATCTTATCTCTGATCTTTCGAAGCATCTTGATTTCCCTCTAATAATCTTGTTGTACACGCACTCTCTCTCTTCTCATTTGTGAATATTTTTCTCTTTCTCTCTTTTTCTTCTTGTCACAAAGGTTGATTGTATGCAGTTTTTTTCGGATGGGAAATCTTCATTACTATTGGGATCAATTCCGAAGTTCGCGCTGATACACAGAAAAAAAAATTGTATGCACACTCACATTGTCTTTCTTGTTCTCATTAGCATTGTTTTTTCTTCACTTCATCATCAGTAGACAATATTATTATTATTATTATCATTCTTATTATTATTATTATTATTATTACTTTCATTAATGTGATGATGATTATTATTCTGTCTGGATTTTTAGATGAGGGTACCATGTCCAGTCCGATGTATGTGATGAAAGCATCAACAGGACGTGTTTTTTTTTTTCTTTCATCTAAATGTGATATTGACCGTGATCCGAACCAAGGAGGTCTGAAGCCCAAAAAAAGAATTGAAAGATGACTCATGCGACTGATAACAGATGGGACTGATTTTATATTTGTAGGTTATAAGGATACATGTATACCTATCCTATGTATGACATCGTATGGACTGAGCATGGTTGATTTTGAAGTTGTTTTTGAGAATATATGAGTGACGAATACAAGAGAGATTTAGGCAAGCATAATTTAATTAAAGAACGGAGCACATGACGGAACAGAAGGAAGAGTGTGTATATGACATTGAATCAAAGTGGCGGAGGGGGAAGAGGTCGATCGTTCAAGTTGACTGGTGTCAATGGGAAATATCTCTTGTTGTTGGGAGAAGTTTGGGAACTAGGTTGTTGGCCATCAAGGCTTGCATAGTTTTGGTTTTGATGGTGAACAATTGGTTGGCCATATTGAGGACTGAGGTAAGGGTTCGGCGATATGGTTTTGAGGGGTTGGTCATTACATGGACGGTCGGATGGATAGCCGAGACCGGGTTGATGAACGACGCCATTTGCAGTAGATTGTCCGATGATCCGTTGAAGATGATCCAAGTTGTCGGCCGTTAACATTTCGGGTTTTCTTTCGGATTGATGATGATGCTGATTTGGATTAGGATTTTGTTGTGAAGGATTATTGAGACTCATACTAGCCACTGCTTCTGCAATCGCGCCGCCCCGTTTAATCCTATTCTTATTCTCCCAAGCAGTATTCCCATTCTTTCCGTTCTGATGAAGAGGTTCAATGGGTAGAGGGGGGCCGGCTTTGATGGATTGGACCATCCCTTGGAGTGGCTTGCTTAACGGCACTAATGTAGTGTCCTCAGGCTTCCGTGTCGTAGTTCGGATGAAATTGGCCGTCAGTACCGCAGCCGGACGTGGAATTTCTCCTGCTGTATAATCCACAAAACTTGGGGCAACTAATAAAAAAGAAGGTTGATGAGTAAATTTTGGTTTGGAAGAGTGTATTTATATGGATGGGAATCGACTCACGTGTATATTCATTCCCGGTTGCTGCTTGACGAACATAGTTTCTAACATCTTTATTGGCTTCACAACGTTCAAGTGATTGTCGGATACACTCACATTGCTAGAAAGTAGAAGAAAAAAAAGTAGCATAACCATAGATATAAGAACGCGTCACCACAAAAAGCAGGGAAAAAAATGAGAAATTAAAGTCACTTCATCTTCGGCGACACAAATAGCAGAGACGGCATTTGCATAGTCCCAAAAAGTGTTTCTGACAAAATCTATCCGGTCTTCTTCCTGATCTTGAATCAACTGTATATAAGATTGGATAATGTTTGTGAGCAAGTGACGTTTGACCCTCCAAGTGATTAGTTTCAATAACTAACGTCGCAAAATTGTTTCCATTGGGTATTCCATTCATTGATGGTATCCTGAAGATTCTTGTTGTGAGTCCGATATTCTTTTTCTGTGATCATCAATTTGCGAAGGTCACATGAGAACAAAAATTCTTTCATCAAGAAAAAATTAAATTGTCTGTTTCTTCTTACTGACCAGTAACCTTAATACTCATATGGACTTTATCCAGCTTGTTGGATACTTTATCCGAATCACGACCTTGGACCAGTTGGAGTTGAGTAACATAACCAGTACTCGCAATGGCATCTGATTCGAATTTTCTCCTGGCCTGTCAAAATTTCATTTAGATGCTTAGTATCTATCTCTCAACGAAGGGATCCAAGTGCAATGGAACCTTTTTTGTTGGATCAAAAATAGAACGAAACGCAGAACCGACTAACTTTTTCATGTAGCACTTGTAAATCAACCAAAGTTTTGCGCAGTTTTTCCACCGTAGCTTGGGGCTGAAAATATAACATGAAAAAGTGACAAGGGCTCAATTCGAATTCAGAATCACCCGTAATTTAAGTCAAACATTCAGGAGAGAGGAGAAAAAAAAACATACATTCTTCTTGACTGAATCACGGGTATTAATAAACGTGGAAAATTTCCCGTACAAGGCAGTTTTGAAAGTACCAGATAGTTCGGCATGACAATGCGCGGATTTTTCGGTACTAATGCGAATGGATTCGAGAGCGGATCTTAATCCGATGGATTCGAGATTGGCGGTGGCACTAGCAAGGACGGGAGATTTGCTGAGTCTGAAGAGCTTCTTGGAGTATTCTAATTCGATCGCCGATCGTTCCTTATACCAAGTCTTGAGATCTTCTAGCATTCTTGAGGACTGTTTGACTCGAGACATTAGAATCTCATATCCACTTTCGCCCCAAAACGCGTTGCAAAAGTCGTGCATCGATCCCTCATTTCCGGGGTCATGCTGATATTGTGATGTTCCTTGAGATCTGTGAATTGGATTGCCGTTGTTGGTTGCGGTTATATTATATTCTTGATGACGTTGACTTGGACTCTGAGCGGGATGATCTTGGTGTGTATCGTGATAGTGTTCGTTGGTAGCTTGTGGGAATTGAAGATGGACTTTGTTGAATAGGTTTGCTAGTCGAGCCATCTTTTTTTTGTCTTGTTGAAGAGTCGGAAATTCTCTTGGGCTGCTAAAAATTTGGATATCGATCGATCGATCGCGCGGCCAATCCACGCGACGCGTCTACCTGCTTCATACTCCCGAATATTGTCAGCACTACATACTCCAGCCTGACTGTTAGAGTAGTGACGGAAGGCATCAGAAGATTCAAGATTATTTCATCTCTTAGACCATAAACTATGTACTTACAACCTTAACCTAGTTAGTGATAGTCCCAAACCTAACCTAGATCATAGCTTGTACATAGTTTATAGCCTGGTCTGTTCCGATCCCGGCTCCTTTTCTCTTTCCTCACCGAGATTAGGAGACCGGGATTTGCACGTGCCGAAGCTGACCGTGACGGAACTGTATCGACCAGGTGAGTTGCTTCTTTTCCTCTTCTGAAGCAATCATACCGAGATTAGGAGACCGGGATTTGCACGTGCCGAAGCTGACCGTGACGGAACTGTATCGACCAGTGTCCATTTGCATTTGAGCATCTAATAGGTTAAAAGCCGGCTTTCGTATGCGCGTAGCATCTCCCCGAGTACTCTAGACGGTCACTACCAACGGATCCTTGATGAGCAACTGGTTCGGATTGAACCAAGAAAGAGAAGAAGAAATCAACAGAAGAACGGAAATTATCCAAGGAAAATCAAAAGACATCGATATCGACTCAAACTCACAAACATCAAAAAAATCATCCTCCGACTCGTCCTCATCCGACATCGAACCAAAAACAAGAATGTCTGGTGATCACAACAACCATCAGGAGCAGTCTCTGACCACCGATCAGGCCAAGCAACTGTTCATCGACATGCGCACGGAGATCGCTAACCTCCGTTTGAACGTCGAGTCTCTCCGTCAAACGCCGGCCGCTGCCCCTGTTCCCCCACCCCAAACCAACACTCAGTCCTTGAAGGACATCCTGCTCCGTAACTTCGTACGGTCACCATTGTCAGCTCACAAGGAAATCAATCCTCGCAAGCCGATTCTCGACTATGACGGCGTGCACTTTCAAGTCTGGCACGATGCCCTCGACTGAACATTAATGCATTTCTTTATGAAAGATAAATCGTTCATCGACACACCGGCAAACTTTGAAGGATTGTTCTCGACAGAAAACTCTTCGATAGCCAGCGTTATCCGTAACACCATCGAAGATCAACTAGTAGGGATCGTTGAAGGCTCAAAACTCAAGGCCCCTCTTGAGTTGTACAATCTGCTGAAGAAAAATTGCAGCAAGTCGGACCGCCGACACAAGATTGAATTGATCGATAAGCTAATGGCCCTAGCGACTGATCCGAACCCATCAGATGGTTTCACACTATCGAAGTGGGCAACGGTCATGGCCGAGCTGGATCAACTTGAGATTGGATGGCCAGAAGTTAGCGGCCTATTGTTGCAGACAGCCTTTAAACCTCCAATCGGCGTCGACACCAAGACATTCGAGTTCTCGGTTGACCAACAACTCGATGTGAAGGACAAACCGGCCTTCGCTGATGTCTTGTTGGTTATCCAATTGGCAACGGGAAAGCTCAAATCGAAAGCCCCCAGCAACGGTCCAGTACCTATGGACCTCAACCGCATTCAAGCAATGCAATCGAACCGGTCATACGTGGCGCCACAACGCCGACACCCCGCAGCGCACCAATCAGCTGACCGACAGACCCCAAAACTGTCAGTAGATAAGGCCACCCACTACAAAGGGAAAGGCCAATCAGAAGCACTACTCAACAAGTATGGGCACACCTGTGTCTACTGCGAGCGAGAAGGCCACTGGTACTCCGACTGCCCTAGCTTTTGGAAGGATGTCGCCAACAAGAAGATTGCTGTTGGAATTTCATCTCTCTCTCTCCTCATCCCTAAAAATCCTGTTCTGTTTAGTCTTTTAATTAATAATGATTAAATAATAGAATTCAAATTATTATACAATTGTTGTTAGTTTCTGTGTGGTCTCTTGTCTTATTGTCTAGTGCTGCAATCCTTGTAGTCTTCGAACCCTGGTCTAGTCTTTATCAATAGTCATTTACTCCAGTCATCTATTCAAGAATTTGTTGATTTTTTTGTTATTCATTATGATATTCATTTTTCTCTCAGAACCACAGATTGAACTTGATGTACGTAGTCTATTTAACGCGTAGGCTCTACTAAGCAAATAAAAATCATTGGCTCTCTCATTCTTTTCCCGACCCTTGAGTCAGTCCAACAAAAAATTCATTTTTGTTGCCCCCCAAAAAAAGTTTCCTCTCAAAAATTCTCCCCGTCCTCGGTCGAAATTTCTTCAATTGCCTCCCCTCCCGACAACTATGCCTCAAACGAGTCACATTATCAACCGCCCCGTCGACCCGATAATGATAGAATCCGTCAAGTGAACATTCCAAACGTGACGGAGGGCTGCCTACTACACTCAGGTGCCTCAGCCCACGTAAGCGGCAATTCCCCCCTCTTCAAGGTAGAACGCAAGCTGAGTCAACCTCGTACCTTCTACTTGGCTGTTTCTGACTGTAACGTGACGGTTTCGGACATCGGCAGTGTGACGATCCCGACACCGAAGGGCCCCTTGAAGATTGATGATGTCTACCATTGCCCAGGAGTTGATGGAATCATTCTCTCAACCGGACGGCTATTGGCGGATGGCTGGAAATTGATATACGAGGGAACGAAAGCTACTTTAGTTGATCCTTGTAATAATAACTATGAAACAATTTTCCATAATTATTGTTGGTCGCTTAAAACCGATTCGTCCCTCCAGTCAATGAAAATCACTCATTCCCCATCTTTTGACCCTTACACCTGGCATGTGAGACTCGGCCACGTCTCTGACAATGTAGTTAAGCATTTTCTTCGACTGAATTACCCAGAACGGAAAGTAACTTGGAAGCCCTTCTTCTGTGAGCAATGCGCCAAGTCAAAAAGCATCGACAGGAAGACCCTGGGAATGGAAACCTTGATCCCTCGGGAAAATCCTCTGGATTTCTGTGTGTCTGATGTTGTAGGCCCTCTGAACCTTGACATCAACGGCTGCCGATTTCTAGTGACTCTCCGCGACCACGCCAGTACCTACACGTTCTGTGCTCCAATGGCAACACGGAGTGAAGTCCCCATTAAAATCCTCCAATGGATCAGGCACTTGAAGACTGTCACTGGGAAGGTCCCGAAATATCTGCGGTGCGACAACGCCCTTGAATACACCAAGAGTCTATCGCCCCAACTCAAGGAACTCGGCACAATCCTAGCCCCGGTTACACCTTACTCTCCGGAGCAAAATGGAGAAGCAGAACGAGTAAACCGCACCCTTGGAGATATGGCTAGAACCATGTTGCCCAGCTTCTGGTGGTCATACGCCTACTCGACGGCAGCTCACCTGTACAACCGAATGCCAAACTCAAGAACCGGCGAAAAGACACCGCTCGAACTCCTTTTCAAGATCAAACCAAAGGCTAGCACTCTATTCCCTTTTGGAGCGAAGGGCATCCTACATGTCCCCAAGGAACGGCGCAGCACCAAGTTGGAAGAACGTGGTCAAGAAGGACAACTACTTGGCTACCCAGAGGCTGGAGCAGGCTGGGTGTTCTGGGTCCCAAACGAGAAGCGGATGGTTCACTCAGCGTCAGTCACCCTCCCTGAGTTCCAGCGGCTCCCCGTCAAACCGGTTGAAACAACAACGAGTCCGGATTTGGTCCCCAAGCCGAAAGCAGACAAGGTTGACGTCGACTTCATCCTCAAGCAAATCGTCCACCGTCTGGGAGAAGAACGCACGGCTGAGATAGCTGAGGAAGAACAACGGCAACTTGCGGCGCTACCAATTGCTGAAGAGCACAATCTCCCGAAGAACATCAAGCAAGCACTGTCTGGCCCTGATGCGGCTCTGTGGAAGGCGGCGGCTGAATACGAAATGCTGAACTTCGGTCAACTGGAAGTCTGGGTGCCAATTGTAGCCCCAAAAGGTTGCAAAGCCCTAGGAGCGCGGTGGGTTTTCTCAATAAAGCGAAAACCTGATGGCTCAATTGATAAGTACCGCGCTAGATATGTTGTGAAAGGTTTCAACCAACAAATGGGCCTGGATTACAACGAGACGTATGCTCCAACAGCCTCCCTCAACATACTCCGCTTCCTCATATCGCTCAGCATCTTGCACAAATTCCCAACGGCTACATTTGACGTGAGCTCGGCATATCTCTACAGCCCCATTGAAGAAACGGTCTACATTCAACCTCCGGTAGAAATCGACCCGTCCCTTAAAGGCAAGGTCATGTTGCTCAAGAAGGCTCTTTACGGCACCAAACAGGCTGCAAGATGTTGGTGGAAATTTTTCCAACAAACTGTCCAGTCCCTTGGCTTCGAGGCTAGCGAAATTGAACCTTCACTGTATCTTTTCCAACGGTGTGGTGGTCCAGGCTGTTGTGCGCAACAAAACTGCCAAAACCCTTACCTTACAACCTAAACCACTTACATATATGAACATATTATTGCATAATCAGAATCTGCATACAATTTTACCCATAGTCACTCACTACAACTATACCTCTATCTCTATTAGTTTAGAAGATAATCCAATATAAAGGTTAAAGCCATACCATAACTAGTCATTAATTAGTATTTAATAGTATTTTACCACATATATATAAGTACATACACATAAATTATTACATCAGCAGGCCTCCACCAGTAGTGCAGACCATTTATGCAATTCTTGCATGCATATGTGCAACCATTAGGCCTCCACTTAGTTACTTAATTGAATTTACGCAGACTTTGCATAAATGCATGTGGACAGAAAAACCTCCACCAGGCAGTGCAACCATTTATGCAATCCTTACATACAGTAGTACCATTTTTAGTTATTCCCACAGCATAATTAGCTCAATGCATGTACTCTTTGCAGGAGGCAGTGCAACTCACAAGGTCACCACTAGCAAAATCACCTCAACTGCATCACCACCAGCAAAAATAACTCAGAAAAGAATATATAAGGAGGCCTCTCCTTCACCAATTCCCCCCATCATCACTCAGCAGCCGGTTCATTCCCCCCAGCCAGCTCAGTGGTCATCAACACAACACCTCCAACATTCAAGACTAGTCAACAACAGCAACAACACCAACACCAACATCAACATCAACATCAACATCAACAACAACAACCAACAGTTTCACTACTTATCCAGAATCACCGTAAAACCATAAAACCCTATAAAATATTCCACTTGGATTGTTTTCACACCCATACTCACCGTGTAAAGGTTGTACAACCATCTTGTATTGAATTACATACTGATCTAGGTCTGATAGAGACTACTACATATAAGTTTTCTCCATCATAAAGTTACGCCACAACAATAAATTAAATTGTTGTCAGAATTCTTGTGTAGTAAATAGAGGGGCAGGTCTTTCAAACCACCCGTAACAGTAAATATTATCTAGTGAAATATCATTATTGTTATTTCCCCCTCAAGGACTGCCAACCCATCCCAAAGGAGTTCTCACAACGGTCCGGTCAATTCATCATTATTTGGCTACATGTTGATGACGGTTTTGCTCTCTCATCCGACCAAAGTTTACTCAATGATCTGAGGAAAGGCATGGAGAGCAAACTCGAGATAAAGTGGTCAGATAATGTTCAGCGCCTGGTAGGCATAGATTTTGTCTGGGACGGCCCTCATCTCCGCCTCAATCAAACAAAGATGGCAACTCAAATAGTTGAATCCTACAAGAGAAAAACTTTCAGCCACCATTGCCCACTCCCTGAACTGGAACTGGAATCTTATTCGGGTGACCCCATTGATCAAACGAAGTTTAGGTCAGTTATTGGATCGCTAATGTATCTGGCTTGTGGGACGCGCCCGGATTTAGCGTATGCGGTGAATATGTTGGCAAGATTCTGTGCGGCGCCATCAACTATCCACTGGACGGCTCTCGACTGGCTTGTAGGTTACCTAGGGAGGACGATGGAAAAAGGGTTGGTGTTTAAGGCTGGAAAAGGAGGGATGGATCTGTGGACTGATGCGAATTGGGGAGGGGAACATGAAAGATCTACGACGGGGTACTTGTTGACACACGACGGAAACAGCATTGCGTGGGGGTCAAAGAGGCAAACGGTGGTGGCTATGTCGACGTGTGCGGCGGAATACTTGGCTTTGTCTGAAGGAGCCCAACAACTGTCACATCTGATCAACATTTTTGAAGAACCAGAAATTGACCCGGACCTGAAGATTCATTGCGACAATCAAGCAGCAGTTCTCATTGCAACAGATAACACCTCAAAGAAGAAAACAAGATATCTTCGGCGGGCATTTTATTTTGTTAATGATCTAATCCGAGAGCATGATATTTCAGTTAAGTGGACCTCAACGCACAACCAATTGGCCGATGTTTTAACTAGAAGATTGGGTCCAACAAAAATGATGGGTGCCCTGACACAGCTTGGCGTAGGAGGGTAATCTGAATAATCTTGAGGGGGGGTGTTAGAGTAGTGACGGAAGGCATCAGAAGATTCAAGATTATTTCATCTCTTAGACCATAAACTATGTACTTACAACCTTAACCTAGTTAGTGATAGTCCCAAACCTAACCTAGATCATAGCTTGTACATAGTTTATAGCCTGGTCTGTTCCGATCCCGGCTCCTTTTCTCTTTCCTCACCGAGATTAGGAGACCGGGATTTGCACGTGCCGAAGCTGACTGTGACGGAACTGTATCAACCAGGTGAGTTGCTTCTTTTCCTCTTCTGAAGCAATCATACCGAGATTAGGAGACCGGGATTTGCACGTGCCGAAGCTGACCGTGACGGAACTGTATCGACCAGTGTCCATTTGCATTTGAGCATCTAATACTGACAACGCACTTCGGGAGTCTCCTCCCATACATCCGCACCCTGACGACTGCGACGAAGATTCCAACGACTCATCCAAAGACTTTTCGATCATCATAAAAACAACCATCGCCTGACGAATTGATCAAGTCACCTTGCGGCTTCCTCGTATGTAGTCAGAAGGACACCTCTTAGCCAATCAAAATCTTTGCACAGATCTCCTCACCCTCAGCAGCCCGACTGAAGATATGAATCCGAATTGGCTAAAGCGTATTCCTTGATAGACCGAGCATCAGCTCATGACGACCGAATGTTCCGGAGAATAAAGGAGCATTCTCTTCATCAATCATGCCCGAATCGATCTCGCAAAACCTTTTATGCATAAGTCTCAGGAAAAATCAGTCACTCACTGGATCTTCCGCCGCCATTACAAGCAGAGCAAATCTCAAAGTAAGACAAAGTCTTATAGAATTCAATCAATTCCAAGCCAGAAATCTGACATCATATATTACAGCCTATATTTCCAATCTTAACAGAAACAATCATTCCAAGTTTGTCAGAGCAGCCCAACTTGCAAACCAAATCCATCAAACCCAACCCCTACCAACAATGGACCAACTAAAATAATGGTAGCGTTAGCACAGCGTAATGTAGCAGAATTCCACTAAAATTTAGTGTAGCGCAGTGGAAATCTGCCATGACTGCGCTAATGCTACGTGCATGGGCCGCAAAAAAAATAGCCTGCTATGCTTTTTAGTGGTTTTGGGGATGATTTTGATGCTAAAATTGTTGTGGTCTAGTGGCACTAACAGCACACTAACACTACTAATTTGGTGCACTGTTTTGAGGGCCACTATGCTAATGTTAGTGGTTCATTTAGTGCAGTGTAGTGACCCATTGTTGCCCCTACAAAGCTTGGTTCAAAATGATCATGATGATCTAAAACCTTATCAAGGTGCTCAACATCAGGGAGGAGTATGTAGCTTGTGAAATGTTTCATCCTGGAACCTCTTGTCCCAAATAGATGTATCAAGTATTAATCAAACCCCAATGGAAAAATTTCAAACCAATTTCCTGTTTGAAAGCTGATTGAAAATTTTACTTCTCTGGTTCCCCAGCTGACTGATTCTTTACCATTAACCCAGACAACCAATATAACATGAGATCCAAAGAATTGAAGCTATACGGTTTTTTTAAACAAAAATGAGAGAAGAATTAAAAGAGAAGAGAGAAAAAAGGAAGGAGACATGAGATAGCAAAAGAAAAAAGAGAAAGGATGGATTAAAGGATTAAAAACCCATGTCTGAGATAGAGATGTAAGAGAGGGAAAGTGGATATTTGGTTAGTTGTATCCAGTTTCAGATTGAGCAAGATGATTGTAATGAAGCAAAGATAGGATGAGGGAAAATGGAGAGGAAAGCGGGAGCAAGAAGAGAAGAGACAGGTGATCCATGAGAATGAACAGGGTTCAGCAAGACTTCCATTAGGTCAGTTCATTTTGACCAATGATTGTAACAAAGTTTGTTGCTTATGCACAATAGAGGACTTCCTGTCAACATCTGTAGGCCCCCTAGAACCAATTTAGAGCTCTTAAAACCAAATTTTCCGGTGATAATCTAGAGTTTTTGAATCTTGGTTGACTTTTGTAAGGGCTCCAGTTTTCACAGAAAGTCCTCCAATCAACGCTGCCACAGATACTGTGAATGAATAGACTAAAAGATGTATTTCATGAGAACCAGCTGAGAAATAAAACAAGAGGAAAGAAGAAAAGAAAGAAGAAAATAGTCACCTAAAAACAGTAGATGGCTAAATAAATAGGACAACAATATATATCTCGAGATGATAAAGAGAGAAAGAGAGAGAAGAAAACTAATAAAAGATAGTGGATCAATATTGAACCACTCAATAAGAAAGAGATCAATGAGGACCTACGACAATTGAGGAAAGAGAAAGAAAGGAAGTAGTCGGCGGAATTGTCGAAAAGAAGGGATCGATTTGATATAGAGATCAAAGAAGATGGTCGACAAGTAAAGGAGAAGATCGATTGATATTGAGATCAAAGAAGATGGTTGACGAGTAAAGGAGAAGATCAATTGATATTGAGATCAAAAGGATGATTGAGTGTTTGTTTGTATAGGAATTGGACGAGAGTGTGGAGAAATGATTTTAAGAGAAGTCCTGAGGAGAGAGAGGGATATGGCGAGGAAGGATGGACCGATTGATAAAGGAAAGTCGGAAAGATACAACAGCGATGTTGATGGAGAGCGAGAGGGTTGAAGGGTAATGACATCATTGCGAGGGTTTGATGAATTCTAGAGTTCAGGCCTAATGATGTCATGAATATTTTGGTCTTGGGTAATTAAGTGGTCTAGGGCCTGCTGGCTGGGGCTTAGACCTCAACACCCCCCCTTACTTCAAGACGAAATAGTCCCAAGGCAAGTAGTGACTTAACGAGTGCTGGGCGTGGAACAGCCTTTGTGAGAAAATCCGCCAACATTTCATTAGTTGGTGTGTACACAAGAAGAATGTTTCTGTTTTTGATAACATCTCGTATGAAGTGCAGTTGAATTTCAACATGCTTCATCCTTTTCGAATTGGAATTCGCATCAAAATTCGCAACCGCTATGCATCCTTGATTGTCTTCATGTACTATAGTCGGAAGCAATGAATCGGCGAGCCCAATCTCCACTATTAAATGACGGATCCAAAGGATCTCACAGGAAAAATCTGTGAGAGCTCGATACTCCGCTTTGCATGATGAAAGTGAGACGACGGGTTGCTTCTTAGTTTGCCAGCTGATCAAGTGGCCATTGAAGAGGGATAAGTAGCCAGTGACGGAACGACGTGTTGACGGACAGTTGCCCCAATCAGCATCAGTATAACCCTCAAGTGGAATAGAGATGCCACGTGGGTAAACTAGGGGATGATCAGAAGTGCCGGCCAGATATCGGAGTACGTGCGTGAATGCCTCCCAATGAGTAATTCCAGGAGCTTCAAGAAACTGAGACAATTGACTGACGGCATGTGCGATATCCGGTCGGTTTGCCGAACTGAGGTAGCTGAGAGCACCCACAGCGCTACAATAGTTCACCCCAAGCGAGTTGAATCGATCAGCTTCCTCAGTGGTCGCTCGATCAAGTTGAGTATTTGGTACCAAGGGAGTCGCGACAGGTCGACACGATGACATTACGTAGAGCGCAAGCAAAGAGTTTACATAATGGAGTTGGGAGAGAACAATGGCTGAAGGCTCATGGAGCACTTTGATCCCAAGCAAGAGATCAGCTTTCCCAATGTCCTTCATGTCGAATTCTGATTTAATTTCCGATTTGAAACCTGAGATATCTTTCCCAAACACAGCAATATCATCCACGTGGATGAAGAGCTAGACAGGATTACTACCCAGGCAATAGAAAACACAGGGATCCGCGACGGACATAGAGAATCCAATACCAATCAACCAAGTTGAAAGACGGTTGTACCAGGCAAGCAGAGCCCGCTTAAGCCCATAAATAGCCTTATTAAGTTTAAGGCAGACCTTTTTCTTGTCGAGGGTCACACCTTGTGGAATGGACAGGTACACTTCTTCATCTAGGTCGGCATTCAAGAAGGCGGTTTTGACGTCTAACTGTTGAAAGTCAAGATCGTTAGCGGCAGCAAAGGAAATTAGAGCATGGAGTGAGTTGAGACGACCAGTTGGAGCAAAAGTTTTTGAGAAGTTGATACCATGAGTTTGCAAGAAGCCTTGAGCGCACAACCTGGCTTTGAAGACAATTTCGCCTTCGCCTGTCTTCTTCTTGAAGACCCAGGTTGTGCCGACCGTCTTCATGTCCGATGTCAAGGGAACGACAGTCCACACGTTCAAGCTGGCCATGGCGTCGAGTTCTTTCTTAATTGCCGTTTCCCAGAACTTTGCCTCGGCACAGTGTGTTGCGCGATGGTAGTGAGCAGGGATGTCGGTGTATGCAGTGGTGTGGAAGGCTCTTGCTTTCCGGACACGTTTTGTCGAAAGAATGTTTGACGACGAAACATCGCCCACAATGAGCTTAGAGGCAGGATCAGCGAATTCATCGGCCGGAACAAGCGTTGATGCTTGAGTCGTACACTCGTCTTCAGGGAGCGTCGGATGTGAGACAGGAGGAATATCGTCATCACTGTCCTCCTCGAAAGAGTCCGTAAAGAAGTCCAGATTTTCAACAGTGGAAGGTATGAATTCATCCAAGAACTTCGGAAAGGATGATTCATTGAAAAAAGCATGGTGTGTTCTAATTAGTTTCTTGTCCCTCAAACGAAGAATCCTGAAGACGGTGGCTTCATTTTCAAATCCAACAAGAATACCCACGTCTGCTTTATTGCCAAACTTCCAGGATCGGTGTGATTTAGGTACACATATGAAAGCTTTGCAGCCGAAGGTTCTAACACAATGAATAGGAGGAGTTTCTTTAGTCCACAATTCATATGGAGAGAAGTGAGAGCGAGAAGGAGTTGAGAGTAAATTTGACACAAACGTCGATGTGTTGACAGCTTCTGCCCAGTAAGACTTTGGTAACTTGCTGGTTAACATCAAAGCACGAGCTTTGTCAAGAATTGTCCGATTGGCTCGCTCCGTGTATCCGTTATGTTCGGGAGTTTCTGGCGGAGAGAAGATGTGTTTGATGCCATGTTCTTGCGTGAATTTCTTGAAGAGTTGGCTAGTAAACTCGCCCCCATTATCGGAGACGATTTCCTTGACATGTCGATCTCGAGAATTTTCAACCTCCTTGACAAACGTTTTCAATACATCAAGAGTGTCAGATTTTGCTTTCAGAAAACAAACGAATTTAAATGATGAAAATTGATCGACGATTGAAAGAAAATAATTGAAACCAGATACTGAAGATGGTTTGATAGGACCAACAAGATCCATGTGAATACGTTGGAGAGGGAAATGAACGGGTTGGAAATGGCTCGGAAAGGGAGAAAGTGTCATTTTGGAACATATACACACCTCACAGGTTTTCGAATCAGATGGCCCGGGAAGTTTCATCTTCTTCATGACTGAATAGCTGGGATGACCCAGACGTTGATGCCAGATCTCATGGTCGTTATCAACCTTCTTGCTGAAGTGAGCGGAAGGGGTATTTGAGTATGAGG